GTGGCCCAACCTTGGGTAGAACACAACCACCACAAGCTTGATGCTGTGTTAGTACCTAACCCAACAGAAGAATAATCTTTCACTACACTTCAACAAGCATACAAATTTCTACCTAAATACTCAGATATTTGTGTACAGATGTGAATACATTACATATACAGATATGTACATACATTTATATATATACACATAAACATATATGTGTATATATACATATATATACACATTTACATATACAGCTATGAAAACATTACCACTGACTTTTTAGCCCTGTAGAAAGCCACCAAGTCAAGATGGAATATGAACTACCTTCCTCCATCCCTTGCTCAAGATTAATATATACAAGGACCACAAAAAAAAAAACCCAAACAAAACCAAAACCGGACAAAGTTAACATTCACATCATCTTTGAAAAAAGAGTCAAAGCATCTTTAACAAAGTTTAAAGTAACTTAAATAATGACAAAGTCAAATCTGTCAAAAAAAATTTTCTGCTCTAGAAGGCAGATGACAAGGATGGACAATGAGATACTTGGAACAGGTTATGGCCTACAGGAAGCATCTGTTTGAGTTGAGAGTTGAGAACACGGTACATCAGGGTGTTCCCACCCTCCTTCCCACACAACTTTCAGTATGTCTTGCAAAACACCTTGAAAATAATTTTTGAAAAGCACTAACAAACAATATTAGACCCAGCCAGTCAGCAACAAAGCCACTGAACTAAATTCTATATTCTCCTTATTCTGCCATTTCAGATCAGAGTTTTACCTGTATTTTGTTCAAGTACCTGTGTCTCGAGTTTATAAAAACACTGAGATTTGGGCTACTTGTTTACTGATACAACAGTATTAAGAGACTTTTCTTAACAGCACTGAACTGAAAAATGTCTGCCCCCCTGCAATAAACATTTACAGTCTGCCTACTGAATGAATTACAAATATCTTCTAGCTGTAACCGCACTCTGTAATACAGCTGCAGTTTTCAGCAAGACAATTCAAAACAGTAAATATGAACTGGTAAGTCTGAAGTTTGTCCTAATTCATGCTGCTTTTACGGCTGCTTTCTTTGCTTGAAATGCTGAGATATAAATCAAATTCCTTCCCCCAGGCCTCATCTCATTTATGTGGATCCTCCTGTCAAGGTCTTGAGTGCACTTCCATCACCCTAGGGATTTAGCTGCCAGAAGGGCTCCATAAGGAGAATGATGCATCCTGAAAGCACCATCCAGCTCTGCTTCCCTCCTTGGTGTAAAAATCTTAAATTCACTATACTTAATAATACCCTCTTCTCTGATGTCCTAATGTCATCTTCACAGCTAGGGACCTGTCTACACACAAAGCTCCTAAAGGAGCTTTCCATGCAGATGTCCCACAATCAGTTGCTTTGGCTACACCATTTGTTTCACAGCCAGCTACAAGCTCAAGTCTCTATCCAGGATCACAGATCACAGCAGTTATTTCATGGCCATAATGGCTGCTCAAACTGAAACTAATTTTCTTGGAAGCTTTGGATCATTCCAATACAAGGCAAGTTTCCAGTTCACCATGATAACCAATGACAAGCAGCTCAGCTGACTATTATGCACTGTCTTTGTACACTAGAAAGATAATTGCAGCAGTAGCATAACTCGGATCTCCTGGAAAGCCTGTTGTGGGTGGAATGACCAAGGGCTCGCTACTCCTGCAGGCCAAACACTCTCACTGAGCCAGTGCTTTCAGCACAAGCGAATAACATACACAGTAATGGCTCCACACCATTTGTGTTCAGTGTGGATTAGGCTCTTTTGGTGCTTGGTATTTTTTAACAACAGGTCCAAAGTCATCTTCTGCAGACCTGATTTCTACACATTTGTCTTGAACAACTGCCAACAGTCTACGGTTGTGACAAAGGGCATAGTTCCACAGTATCTGAATGAAGAAAGGAGAGCAGGTGTTACGGACAGTGATCAAGGGTAAGCCAATAGTCCAGTGGCTGCTGAACAAGTCCACAGTATAGAGACACACCAAGTCAGGTAGTCAATGCATCAGGATCAAGATCAATGAGGTACGTGGCTGGACCACCACATAGGTGCATCCCAGCTGAGGCAGTGACTAAGGCCAAGGGCCTGAGCTTGAAGACAATTTCTGAGTGAAAGGGGAACCGTGACAAGACTTCTCACAGCTCTTCCCACAGCAGTGTGACTCAAGATTACATGGCTGCACCACATCCAAGATGACCTTAAGCATCCACAGCCAAAGGAGCTGCTGGAGGACAGGGTATCTGGGGCCCCAACACCTCCCATCCTACAAATACTTACTGCTCCTCCTTATTGATGATGGTGCAGATATCAGCGACAGCAACAGCAGTCAGTAAGATTATGATACCCTTATTTCCTGTTCACAAGGCTGATAAAATAATTTTTAAAAACCACTTGCATCTATTTTTCCAACTGTGCTGCTTTGGCAAAGCTTTAAGTAGTCTAGACAATAAAGCTGTCAGCAGTTCAGAAGGGGCAGGAGGAAGGGGAAAAAGCTCCCATGCAATGCCAAATCAGAAGATCTCCTTTTTATTCTACAAATATTACATACTCTGTATAATCCGGGTATAAAAGCTTTAGAATTAACTTTAAAAGCAAGACTGTAGTATTTATTTAGAGAGAAGTCCTGACAGCATAGTCCGCAAGGCTTCACAGATTAAAAATAAGATTAAGGCCAAATGTGGTAGCTACAATATAAGGGTAAAATAAAATACAACACAACACACTATCTCATTAATTTAATGATTCTATAAAATTCGTGATAAAGCAGTACACCTTATCTACTACATCAGACTAGATCCACCAGAAACAGAGGGGCTTTTGCCCTCCCCCCACATTGACACTGAAGTTTTAGCTCTTACAGCTGCAAAGAGGAGTACTTCTAGAAATTTAATCCTATACTACATGATGTTAAAGAATAATTGTAAAACCAGCATTGATTGAGATACAGTAAACATGTATCACTAGGCTTCAGTTACCAGTTATTTTTTACCACTATTAATTTTCCATGTATTGTTCTGACAGGCTTCATTTTGGAGGCAGAGTAGTATTGGTAACATCAGAGAAGCTAGTGGGATGAGGTACACACAAACACACAAAACAACTTCTGTATATTCGTATTTATGGAAGAGATGCTTTTCCTCTTCTAGTGTCAAGAAACTCCCCCGGGCTGTAATACTAGAAACCCATCTTAGTTCCTACCACCAGAAAAATGCAAAACAATCTCCCAGTTATTCCTTAACTGCTTACAAGAAAATCCACTCTCATCACCCATTAAAAAAAACCCAAACTAACAAAAAACCAACAACAAACCAACCCCACAAGAAAAAACAAACCACAAAACCCCTTAACATCTACTTTACTACTGCACTATCCAGTGCACCAAAAATTTAGGTCTAAGGAAAGTAAATTTCAGAACAGTTTCTTAAAATCCATTGTTTCCACAATTATGTATTTGATTGGAGCAACAACATGGATAAATTCACTGACAAGAACCTTGTTCATGTATTGAGACAAAGGATTATTAAGGTTCATCCCTTACAAGATTTCATCATTCTCATTTCAACCTTGGCTTAAACCTTTAAAAGATGGTGCTTCTCCCCTTCCAAAAGGCAGCATCTATCACAGAATTAAGGTGATTTGCGCAGAGTGAAAAGCAAAGGCCTGTCTACAGGTCAGGCAGTTGCACTGATATTCCCTTGACAACAAGCACAGTCCCTATTCTAACTCAAGGGAATTTTATTGCATTTCCCCCCCCACTCACAGACCAAAATTAGAGTCTTCTAGAATATATCCAGTCTCACTTCAGACAGAGAATATACGGCTCTTTTAAAAGGTAAAGAGCAATCGTGATTTCTTAATACATGAGGAGCAGTGCTCCTGTTTTAAAGGAGCAGACTGCTGAACAGTTGGGGTTTTTTTTTAAACTTTCAAAGCATAATTTTTTCAGCGTATGGAACATTAATGAAAAAATACTCTTTTCAGTACTAACATCTAGCCTACGCCAGTGAAAACTGAGAAAAACAAAGGTGATTAAGACCACTATCAGCTGTGTTTCTTGCATATAAATGCTATTGTTCAAGGTGTGCTGATCCCAGCTAATACATGTTCTGCTTTCATAAAAAAGTTATAAAGCAAAACCACCTTAAGGAGGAAATTAAAACAAGAAAAACCTTTTGCTGGTTAACAGCCAGCTAAAAAAATACACAAAAAATCTCTTAGTAACGTAAAATTTTACTAGCTGCAAAATACTGAACACGAGCTACACACTCAAGTATGCAAAAGTGTCACACCAACACGTATTTTCCCCATTGAAATATGAAAAAACGTAGATTTGCAACACACTAATTGTCTAAAGCAAGAAGAACATATTCTGTGAAGAAATTCAACATTCAGAGCTGCACAAAGCGACAGGCACGTAAGAGCTTGCTTGTTAAAGCTGAATGGCATCTCTTCTAGGAAATGCTTTCTGAATACATAAAGGATATTTTCATAACAAATGTCACATCTCTTCCCCCCCTCCTCCTCCAATTCTTTTACAAGCTGCAGTGAGTTTTAAAGAAGCTCTATCTGACCGATTCACACAAAAAAGGCTTTGAAGCACACCAAGCGTTTGCCCTTATTCTATAGAAAGTGTATAGCGATAACTTGGCCCTTCCCTCCCCCCACTCAGTACCTTTCTGGGGTAGTGACTTCACATCCTTTGACATCAGCACTGCTTGAAAGGGGGATGGGAGAGTTACGGCAGAAAGCAGTAAAACCTGCTTTTAACTGTGTATGCAATGCCTCTACGAATTCTTCAATCTTCCCAAAACGCATTTAATGGAGCACGGGTGTCGACCTCCCCGGGTTTTCGTGCGGCTGTTAACAAGCCGAGAGGGACGGGGCTACAGAGGCCTTCCTGCTCCCCTTATCTGAGCACCACAATAGCCATTTATGAGCTCGTCGGAGGGTCGCGATTCACTCTCTCACGCACAATAACTCACCTCTAATATGCAAAAGGGCCACGGGCTGGAACGGCCCATTGGAATTGGCTGCGTCAACCACCATCCTGCTGCCAGCTCTGTTACATGTCAACATCTAGGCTCCAGCAGGAAAGGCAGTGTATTCCTTAAGGCAAGAAACCAGCCTCCATTTTAGTTTAAAAAAAGACAGAAACTGAAGCGCTCTGCAGCTGGAGGGAACTGGCTAGTTGGTGATGTCAGCGGGCGGGAGGAGCCCCATTGGCTAACGGCACCAACTTAAAACGACACCGAGGAGGCCGCAAATGAGCGGAGGCCGGTGCGGGGCTGTCACTGCGCCCTGCGCGGCTGCGCCCGCCCCCGCGCTCCCGCCGCGCCGCGCAGCGGAGGGGAGCGGAGCGGGCAGAGCCCCGGCCCGGGCAGGCGACCCCCCCTTTGCCTTTGTTCTCTTGAGCCAGGGGCAGCTTACTGCTGCTCTATTGTTTCCCCCACTGACAATGTTCACTACGCACCTGCTAGAAAGAGCACATGCGGTTGGGTTTTGTTTTGTTTTTTTTTCCTTTCCTGAAAAAGCCCAACGTATAACCTTTCCTTCAGTAAGGCTGCCAAGAATTACAAAACAGAGGAGCTCAGTTTAACAGTTTAAAAACACAGCATTAAGGGCAACATCTACAACTTTAGCTTTCAAGAGCTGTATTAAAAGGCAGTTCACAGTAAGATATACGTCCTTGAATTATTATTATTTGTGATTTAATTAAAACCTCATAATCATTCCAATGAAGTGTTTTATGACTGGTTGCTAATACATTATGTTATGAATAAAATTACGTACATACGACATTCAGGAGGTGAAAAATCTCATGTTTCATGCTCATCTGAATATTTCTTTCAATCTAGAAATGGCCCTGTCTTAAAATCAGCTTAATGTGGTTAAACACAGATATTGAAAAAGTCAGGTTTTAATTTATAGAAAGTTCAGTAATTATAAGTAACTATTCTTATTAAAAACTAAAAAACTGCAGCACTAAGAACCAATATATAGGTATATGAAAACAGTTTTGCTGCATAATCCCAGAAATTTTTTAAAAAAGTACAGCATAAAAATTTCTAAACTTTTTCGTTCAATTACTTAAATTATTTGGAAAAAAGCCATCAAGCAACCTTTTCTTCATCATATGAGACTTGCACATTTGTTTTTACAACGATCTATTTGAAGGACCATTTTGTCTCCTAGGTACTGCACCTCTGGGAGTGATGTTCAGAGAAAGGGGCAACGTCATGCATGTACCATCTTCAAATCCATGCTTCTCCCCAAATACTATTTGCAGCAATATGCCATCTTTAAATATTTAATTACTTGATCTAAAACACTGCCCGCACTTATATCTGCTAAAAAAATACATAAAAAAAAGAGGAAGAGACTATTCAATTAGGTAATACGCTGATGAAAATTTGGAACAGAAACAAATTATAGGGTGAAAGGGAATGAAAGGACTCTAATTTCTAACAATTATTAAGACTAAACTGTGATGTATGAAAGCTTTGCTTGTGTTTTGCTTCATTTTTCTCAAGGACTCCTGATTCCTCAACTGTTTCCTTAGGTCCCTTAGTCCGTTTAGGTAAGATCGAAATGCTCATTAGGCTCCCTACGTAAATCACTGGTGGCAGACTCAAGGCCTTCAGTGAACACTTGGGCAACTCCTAGAATGAGCTATGGGGGGCTCTAACAAAGAGACACCGAGAGCCTGTTATAGGGAAACTTATTTTGCTGGCTTAGGAGGGAGACACCTGGACTTCACAGCACATGCTCTGGAGAGAGGGTCAACTAGCCAACACTGTGAAGAAGACTACTTACTTCTTCCCCTGACCACTGAAGACCCTCACCATATTTTCACTACGCATGTTCAGATTATGCAAATGAATTCTGGGAACTCATTATCATAAGATACCCCTTTCTAGGAAACCTAATGAATATCTATGATTTGTATGTAAACTCATGTCCCTTGCTAGCTCTTGGGAGCCCTTATGGCGGAGAATCCCCAGGGCGACCCCAGCGCTGCCAATAAAAGAATACCTGCTTAACAGTTCTACTGGATTCTGACCGTTGAGGTAATTTCTTTGTTTCAAGAGCATATGCATACCTGGTTAGCAAAGTTGTATCGCACTACGGTAATACATTGTCAAAGGTGAGTTAGAGCTGTACTGAATATTATTGAATACGATGAAGGGGAAAAGACTGAGATATAAAATGAGGACTATTACTCATTAGACCCATGAAGAAATCAACTGGATTTACAGATCACTGACAAGGTTCGATCTGAAGTAGTGCCTCCTGGATGTCACAGTGAAGAGGGATATAAACCTGATGAGAAAGCCCAAAGACGACCAATCTAAAAAATGTTACTTCTTTAAAAAATAAGAAAAGCTGCTGTTTGGTGTGGTGTGAGTTGTTGTTGGGGTTTTAATGGTTCTGGGATTTTTTCGGTTTGTTTGTTCGGGTTTGTTTGGCTTGGTTTTGGTGTTTGTTTTGTTTTGGTTTTTTTCCCCCTTGTTTTAGGTTGGTTGTTGTTTTTTTGTTTTTGTTTTTTTTAAAGGAAGGACTAGACTGAAAATATCCAAGCATTTTAAAGAGTAATTATGGAGATGAAGGGAATTCGTTTTTCTACATTCACTATAGAAAGTAAATTCCTCCTAGATCAAGGAAGATTAGGTTAGATGTTAAAGGAAATCCTCTCACAATAAACACAGTGAAACAAGAGACAACAAACTTTCTAATAATTTAAAAAAATGGCTAAACATAATGAGTGATACAAATGTAGATGAACCTGCTTCTGAGAACATAAAAATGGACTACATGAACTTCTAATACCTTTTAAAACTTTTTTCCTAAAACTACAAGGATTCAAATAATTTGGCCTTCCAGTCTAGGTAAAACCAGGGGAGGCATATTCTCAAAAATGTCAGGTTTTATATCTGTATATCCCTTGGGTATATCTTAGATGTGGAGTTTTAGAGTTCTGAAACAAAAAGCTACCAGAGATATGCTTTTAACAAAAGCAAGACTGCTTTTGCAAAAGCAAAAGCTAAAAAAAAAAGCAAGACTGACCTCAAAGTTTTCTACAAGATCGTGACAGAGGAAGGAGAAAACTGAAGAACTCATTTTTTTTTTCAACATTTTCATATGCAGAATTTTTTAAGGAAATTCTGTTTCTTATCCCCATCTAAAGACTGTGCTATAGTGATAAGCCGCAGTAGGAAGCGGCAAAGATTAGGTTAAAAATTCCAGTTTATCTGGGAACCACATCTTTAAGAGGCAGCTGCTCTCTCTCTCTCCTCCTCTCTACTTGTGTCTTGCTTTAATGTCAACTGCTGCTTCTGTCTCTAAAACTCCCTGCAAAGATTAAAATGGCTATGAAGACTGCTGGTCCAACAGCACACAAAACTACTGTACTGGAACACAACAGAGCAGAAAAGGGCATGTTAGTTACAATGCCATTTCCTATTTTATACAAAAGCATGGCTTGAATAGCTGGAGGCTGATTAGCAAATTTTAGGTAATGTTATAAAAGTCAACCCCCCTACATTGTTCTTCACTAAAGAGTTAGCAGTACTGGCAGAACACTGTCACATTCAAGTAAGTTTTATCTTACAAGACACACACACCCTGTTCACTTTTCTTCCTCTTTGCAGGACTGTGCTACATCTGAGGCCAATACTTAGTAAGCTACCATGAAACTGGTTCAAACAGTCATAATTCAGTGTATTACTGGTGTGCTGACAGGACACTAGCAGAGCTGAAGAACTTCAAACTTTGTAAGACCTTGCTTGTTAACAAAACGCGGTATCTTCTCACCAGTTGTACAGATCAAGAGATACGTTCTGCCCAGGAAGTCTATATACCCTCTGTTTGTTTCAGCCTTAAAATATTTGATTTGCCACCAAAGGAAAATATTTACTTAAATTATTTTGGTCAATATGATTTTGGAAAAACATTGCAAATAAAATTAAGTTAGGAATTGACTTACTAATGGGGAGGAAAAGAATATTAGTGCAAGTGGAATGGAGCTAATGAATATCAATAGGAGGAGGAAGAGGTTACTTAAATTTATGAAGATACTTCTGTGGCAAGAGAATCAAAAACCTTATTAACTTCGGCTACCCATTTTAGAATTAAATGGATGAAAAAACCATACCAAGAGTATTGGAAAACTGTAGCTATTACATATTTCCTATGAACCCTGCTCATCACTTCTAACTGCCCAATAATGAGAATGAAGAAAATCCTATAAAGTTCTCAGGATATAATTAAATGTGTTACATTGAAGGTCCAGCACTATAGCTGGTGAATTCACTTTATTGTAGTATTTTTTTCAAAACAAACATTCCATTTGGGTTACAACTTTAAAAACCACCAAACCCCCCCACTCACCTGCCCAAAGGTTGTCTTTATTTCCATACTGAATTAGCTACTATTCTAACTGAGAGTGACAGAATCAACAACATGTAAGATTAATTAAACTGGGTGAACTTCTATTTACATGAAGACACCTTGGACAACGTTGGTTACCACTCAAACTATATGAAGATTTTTCATTTTTGGAGTGGAGGGGGTTATTTTGGGAGGAAGGGGTTATTTAGTCTAAACTCTAAGGGAACTAAAGGCATAATTCCACAACTGCTGAATTTGCTACTCCTCAGCAACTTAAACTATCCTAGTTGTAGATTGCTTCAGTCCCCTTCCTGCATTTCCCTCTGCTTTATTTTGCTCTCATCTGCTTCAGTGGTCATGAGACCCACAGCTGAGTTAGTTTAGTCCACTAATCCAACAGAAAGCCACTTTATTGTCAGGCTGGTTTTCTGTTAACTTAGACTGTGTTCCATAGCAGCCTAAACTGAGCTAAGACTGTATGAGCTACTGCTTCAATCCCACCTCTTTCTGAGGCACACGTGTGCAACCATCTGAAATAGATGTACAAGGGCTTGTGCAGCTGCATGGCTGAACCAGATTAGGAAACTGAACAGAGTTAAAAACGAGAAGGAAAAGGGCGAATTTGAGCCATGTTGATTCCATTATCTGGTTCACCAGACAGCCATCCAAATGAGGAACAAAACTAAACACGACTTGCTTTTTTATTGGTAGGACCAAAGTAATTTACTTTTTTCCCTTTCAATTTTAGCCTAATCAAAACTTACCATTCTCACAAATGATGTAACGCTATTGAAAGTAAGGGTCTCTTCACAACCCTGAACAATGAGTTGCCTGAACACTTT